TGATCTTGCTGAAGCCCAGCATACAGAAACCTGCCTTCAGTCTGATTCCTGTTCTCAGGTTAATGGCCCAGCTCAGAGTGAGGCAGCAAACCCTGAAGAGCTCCACAGAGACCAGACCAAAACACAGAGCCATGCCATCCCAGTATGAAGATGACTCCAGGTGGAGGATGTGGCTGAGGATCCCGAAGACCAGGACGCCCTGATAGATACAGAAACATAATGAGGACCTGACTCTGAGTAATAAGAAGGACTGGAAAGACGCTTACAGACATTAATAAGCCATGAGAGGACACATATTATGAGGACCTGACAACACAGACGTCCTACGACTGTTATAGTTTATGGTCTGTGTTGTCGACTGTATGCACTCAAAATGAGACTCACTGAGCCGACGAACAGAGACAACATGAAGAGGACGTTGATGCAAGGACCAGCAGAAGTCTGTCTCTCTGAAAGCGAAGCAGCACTCGAGTCAGAGACGCTTTCTGCAGACCGACGGCACACACTTCCTCTTCCCACAGCGTCCTCAACCTGCACACACACACAAACAAACAAAAAAACACTCATCAAAGGCTTTAAGAATTACTTTCTGAAGTATGTTTTTTATAAAAATAAACTTTAATGTGTATTGTTATCTAGCAGGGTCTCGCCTGTCTCCGTTGGCGTCTGCTCCGTCCAGAGGAGACAGACTGAGCGAGCCGAAGTCCAGCTGTTTCCTGGACATGGACCACATCATAGGAGTCATCCAAGACATGGTGCTGAGGGACAGGAGGCCTGCTTCGTCCAGAGGGCTCCATCTTAACATTGAACAACCAGCAGATGGTTCAAAAACTCACACAATCCCGAGATCTGACACAGACTATCTAAAGCTAAGACCAGTTTAATTAATCAAAGTGCTGAATCAAAGGTCAACAAGAACTATTTCATCTACAAAATGGGACCTTGAAATCCTGATAAAAAATTATGTCATTCTGTGAAAAGAAGTACTATCTTTAAAAATAAAGAAAAAAAAATTTGAGTGTCAACCACTTTCTGAAATCTATTTTCTAAACATGTCATTTGAAAAAAATTAAAGGAGCAATCTTTAACTCTGGCACCTAGTGTTTAAAATGTACTGCAGTTCAAATTCAAAACATTGTAGAGAGCTGCCCCCCCCCTCCTCTCTAGAGTCGATGCTCACACAGGTCACCATGTGGTGGATACTGAAGCTTCAGTGTTTATCCAACTCTGCATCGGTCTGTAAACCTTTCTGTGTTCTAACCTCTCTCCATTTTTCAAAAGCATCTCCAATATTGATCCTAGTTTGAGCACGTTTCTGCTCGTGGAGCTTATTAGAAACATGCAGAGGCTTTTTAGGTCGGTACAATCACTTCTATCTGAACCAGTTCTCTTGCCTGCTTCCATCGCTGCAACACCTGGTTTGACCTGATAACTGCTCTCATATCTGGGAAACCGAGGGGCGTCCAAAACGGCCGTGTGGGGGGTCGCCTTAAAACTGCCTACCTTCTCTGGTCCAAACAAATCCAGATCATTCAGGACCAGAATCTAAAGTTAGAAGGAGGACATACTGGCTGCTGCATTGTTGTCAGAGAAGTCAGCACTTCAACATAGCATGTTTCCTTAATGTCTGATCTTATAGTAAGGTCACTTTATAATTTCATTCTGTAGATATCTTACTGATTGGACCTTTAAGATGAGATGTGTAAACTGAATTGACAATAACAGAGGACAATGGAGTTGGTTTCTCTATCCGAGAGGTTTTAACGCTAATTTTCTGCATTTTACATTTTCCAAACACACAATCTGAACATAAAGACCATCATCACTGAGAGTGCATGAAACGGCCCTGCGCTTACCTTAACCCTTTCTCTGCCTCTGATTGGCTGGAGGGGAAGGTGGGATGGACTTGGGGTTTCCTCCAATCAGCACCCTGGCCTCCCTTACCGTCCATTGTTCTGAGACAGAAACAGATTACTGATCAGTCTATGGATAGGTCGGTGCACACTGTAGGGTGAATTTTCTTATAATCATCAGTTTTGTTTTAATGCAGGAGAAGAGTTATTGATAATAAGAGGTGTGGCTGATCTGACTGACAGGTGGCGTTGTGGCCATGAGGCTTAAGACCAGCCTCAGCTCCAGCTCTTTGCCTAGTTTGAAGTAGCATTTCCAATATGGTGACTGCCATCGCTGGGCTTCAGAAGTCAGCTTTACAAACTAATGGGTGACATCATTGAGAAGACATCCATGTTTAGAGAGTCTATGGGCTGCAGGTATTCCTCCTGGAGGCTGCCTACGCTCCCGCCAGCCTCCAGTAGAGGACAGAGGAATGTCTGACTCCCAGGGAGAAGAGTCTAGAAACGTTCACAGCTCATCTCCATGACTCTGAAGCATCGTCAACAAAAAAAGCAGTTTTAAGAATATCTAACACAAACACTCAAATCCAGAGGTTTGAAAGTTCACAGGTTACAAAGAATTTAACAAACATGGATACTTTAACGTCAGCAGACTGAGAGAGGAACAGGTAAATGGACTCACCTGAAAATACTCAGCTCCACATGGACGCCTCTTTCTGCTGCTGCAACGTTTCAGGAGAACTGGATGTAAACTGGAAACAACCGGAAACTCATCCGACAACAAACACGTCTGTTAGCACACCTGCCTGAGGCCCCCTCCTCAACGGCCGACCTCTCAGCCCAGCCCACCTCGTCCCATCCATTCATGTGATTGGAGAGTGAAGTTGACACAGGTGAAATGATCATAACTGTTAATAATGTGATTTTATTTTGAACTGTTTTGAATTGTTATTTGACTTTGTCTTGTTTCCCTTCTTGTTTGATTTTTGCAACATGCTTTTTGTTAAAGTTTCATTTAAAATCCATGCAAATAGAGACAATCTACATCAATTTGACAAAAAATAAATATTGTTTATTATTACAATATTAGAATATTGTTTAATATTGTTTATAATATTGTTCACAATATTATAATATTGTTTACTCTTTTTTTAACCAGCTGAGGGCGCTATCTGTTTTTGACTTCTCTTGTTTGACAGCTGCAGCTCTGTTCATTTGAAGATATGTTCCCATGTGTGCTTCACATGTTTTTATTTGATTAAGTGTTTGTTTTAAAATCTCAAAAGGTCGTTTTGTCAGATATTATGGCTGGATGGACGAAAACAGGCAGATACACACACTCCACATCAGGGATACTTATAAAATATGCCAAGTTACATTCTTTAAGGATTAGGGGAAAGCTTTCTGGGGCCCAGTCACATGGGGAGGGTCCAAAAAAAACATAGTCCATCCTAATATTAAGCAACAATAAACACATTTTATTTGACACCTAAATACTCACCATGACCTCTTAAAGGAAGAATGTGCGACTTTTTGATTAAGTAGATGTCGCCCTTGAGCTCCAGCATTAAACCAAAACAAACTGATGTTTGGCCACACCTCCTCCATACTGAAGCCTCCGCTCTCCTCCAGCCAGACACCTCCAACCCCTCTCCACTTGAGTTATGAATTACAACGCACCATAATTAAGCACCATTAAGCGGAAGAGGCAGACAAAATTGTCCTTTGCTTGAGGTTCAATCACCTGTGTCCTAAATTGCTGTGTTAGCATGCTAATGTTAGCGCTCTTTAGTTAGCTCGTAGCTTCGTATTGCATGTAAATTGACACAGAATGATCATGATCTATAAACTCTTAAGTGACATCCAAATAATCAGTGAGTATGTTCTTCTTCTTCTCTCTAGTTCTTGACTAAAACAGCTTTTAAACACAAGGGGAGGAGCCGCCCGTCCCGTCCATGTAAACACGTTTCTGACAACAACACAGCCAGCGGGACTCGAGCTTCTCCCTCACTGTAGACAGTCATGACTCAGAGACACATTTACACAGGAGAGACTGGATTTCTGACATATTTATGTACCTTTAATGCAATAAAACACACTTTTTATTGATTGTTGCTGAAGTAAAATGTGCCCTGTTTCAAAATATAAACACCCTCGCCTTAAAATGATACGAACCTTTTATTTGTAACGTTACCGACGTAAGCTAGCCCAGTGAACTTTACTGTTATACCAGTTATGTAGGCCAGTATAGCCATTTGAGGAGTTAGGATACCAGACAAAAGTAAGAAGAAGAAAAGGAGGCAGCTGGCTCGGGCGTTTGACCCCAACGAGAGCTTGTTAACAAACGTATTTCAGTCGGCTCGGAAGGCTGATGGGAGCCAGGCAGAGGGAGCTTATGTTAGCCAGGAGGCTATAGCGCTAACAGTACTGATCTAATGTGCATACGTTGAGTTAAATCATATCCTGGGTGGGCCCATTCAGCGGGCTTCTCAGGGGCCCAGGTATTTCTGTGGATGGCCCTGAGTGGTGTCATGGGAATAAATCAGTCGACATCCGACAAACAAGACTTCATGTAGTTTTTGAAGGTCCAACATTCACATTTAAAAAAAAAAACTTCTTTTGCTTGTCATTGTGAATTTATGTAAATTTGTATATGTGTGAACCACCAACCTGCCGAGGGACTACAGATGGAAATGAGCGTAAGGCTTCAATCTGCCATATTTACATGTTTATGTTCATAAAGTGCACTGCCTCTATTTTAAATAAATTAATAAAAACATTTGTCTCTATGTTGATCCTGTCCTCTAACCGTTTAAGTAATGTTTTAGACAGCGACACAAAAGATCATCATTCCTAATTCTAATGTTTAACTTGCATGTATGTATGTATGTGTGTGTGTATTTCTCGGCCTATGTTTGTGTAGCATGTTTACTAGACACAGTGTAAAAACGAATTTCCCCTCACAGGATTAATAAATTAGGCCGACGGGTAGTGACGGAGCTGGACACAATGTAAAAACTAGGGCGACGATCGCTCACCAACAATCTCCTTGGTGTGTCAGGGCCTTTAGACATCCAAATCTTTGAATGGATAAATGAAAGTTGTGTTTGCAGTTTGCTGTTGAACGTATCATCTGACACCTAGGAGTGAAAAACATGTAAAATACCTTTATATAGAAATAATGCATCTTCTCACTGATAGACTGAAGAGACATCGGTGTTAAGTTCAGTCTGTTTAATTAGCAGCTAAAAACTCCTCACAGAAGCGTAAATATGTACAATTCATTAATTTATCTTTAGTAATCAGTCTGTTACATTTCTAAATAGTCACTTAAATATATAAACTCAGGCCGGTTCATTGAGACGGCTTTAAAACAATCTATACATTTTATATAAACAGGAAAAATGATGCACTCACAAGTCAAGACATCTGACTTCTTTGTGTCTCTGATGAGTGGGTTGGAGAGGAATGTGGATAAAACTTATTTAACTGTAATTATTCTGGAAACATGGCTGATGTCTTTGAGCTCATCACGTTTTGATTAATCCTTCAGTTTTCTGTTCAGTTAGAAGCACAGACTTTTCACAGATACAGTTAGCAGCTACATAAATGTCCTGATGTCAAGTGATACACATCATGCCATAAAACCTTCAATCTTGGAACCCATCGGCTATCGTCTTACAATGTCTCCAGGTGGACTGGAGGGACTTCTTGGCCAAGACTATAGATGGACGTAGTCTCAGTGATGTCATCCATTGGTTTCTGAAGAGGCGTTTTGAAGCCTAACAAGGACGGTGGCCATTTTAGAAATCATACTCCACCTAACGCGGGGTACACACTACAAGATAATCGAGCAGATTTCTGGCCTGATTCCCTCTTCCTACAAAAGTCTGCAAAGGCCAGATTATCTGATGGTTCCAAATGTTTCCTCGTCAGGTTCTCATGTGGTGTGACGTGCGTTAAGAGTGATATTTACCCTCCCTAATCTGCTCAGAAGACGATCGGGCTGTCCTGATTTGAAATCTTGAATAATAATTTACTTGTTACTTATTAATTGTCACGTGGAACGGAACAATAGCCAATCAGGAAGCAAGCTGACTAAAGCAGGAAGCACAACAAATGTAACCATGGCAACGAAAGCAATCGCAAAGCATAAAGTTAGGTGGAAGTCAGAAATGGTTCAACTGGTTGATTTGTGGCAACAATATGAGTGTTTATACAACAAACCTCAATCCAACTGACAAGGAAATGAGTTTGTATAATTTGTATGACCAGGTAGCTAACAGCTAGCCACATTTAGCTTGACCATCATGTTTGTTTACGCTTAAGCGACCGCGCAAGATTACATGTTTTGAGAGTGGAGACTCTGGTTGTTGGTGAATGAGTCTGTGAGTGTGAGGTGTGCTGAGATGGTCGCCTCGTTGCTGACCACACACTATAAAAACTGAACCGTTAAATCTGTCATGATTTGTCGTCATGTGTGGACTCTAACATTTTCAAAAACATTTGAGATTTTGAAACTGTATGGTACCAGGCTTAATATTCAGTTGATCTAGTAACAGACAAAGAGGCGGAACCTGCTTTCAGGATATCTGTTTCAAGACGTTAGTTAAAGCTGCCGATGGGCTCCAGGATTGCTTTATGCCAGATGCGTTCTGTCCCTTTTTGTTGTTAGTGACTGTTTTCTTCACAGTCAAAGCTCACTGAAACATGACACTGCTCACACTGCTCACGCTACAGACAGAACCCAGAAGTGTTCTGATACTAACATCCATCCTGTGCCCACAGATATCAGTAAGTACAGTCAGCCAATGATCACGTCAAACACAGCTCTCCTGCTCGTTTTCACCAGAAAAAAACAATCGTGCTCTCGTCATAAATCTGTTTATCCTCCTCCATCCTTCAAATGTTGGAGGTGGAGTGTGTGGTAGAGTGTGTTGTCGAGAAGTTCTCCGTGCGGAAGCGAACCACCTTGCTGTTGGGGGGCGTCGAGTACAGAAAGCGGCAGGTGAAGACTTGACGGCAGGCCTTGCGGAAGTTCTCGGACAGGAAGGCGTAGAGGACGGGGTTGACGCAGGAGTTTCCATAAGACAGGCAGTGGGAGACGATGCGAAAGGCGAAGGAGGCGTCATTCAGGGGAAAACGGCCAAACTCCACCCACATGGCGATGATGTGATGGGGCATCCAGCAGATGGTGAAGGCGGTGACGACCAGGAGAACTGTCTGAGCCGTCTGAAAGAAAAACCAGAGGAAATATCAGACTGAATGTGACCTGAGTGTTGTTTTTGATAAATACTTCAACTGAAAAAAAAAACCCTCAAATGCTGCCGAAATATCCCACAAATACTGATAAGATATGCCCCAAAAATGTCCTGATTCTCAACCAAATATTGCACAGGTTCAGAGCTGTGCACAAGTCTGATAATCCAATTGTTAGTTATTACAAAGGTTCATTTTTTTTTTACCATTTTTAATGCGGGCGTCAATTTGAAAAACGATTATTAAAACCTTTAAATATTATGCAAAATCCACTTCACCATGTTTCTCTAACACTAATATGTGTCTCTAGTCTGTCTACAAACCCCCCAATGATGAGAGAAGTCCATCCTCTCCGTCTTTTGCTTGCTCCACTTTTTAGAAAATGTGTGCTCGAACAGGCCGTTTGGAGATTTTCCCTTCATGACATCACAAAGGGCAGTAACCCCTCCCACAGCTAGGTGTTTGTTCTGCCTCTGAGTCTGCCTTCTCACCGTAAACAATAGGGCATGGAGCGAGAAACACTGAGACACCCAAGCCCTTCCAGAGAGGGGCGTGGTCAGACACAGCTCATTTACATATTTAAAGGTACAGACACAGAAACAGCCTGTTCTGAACAGGGCTGAAATAGAGGGGTTTATAGGCATGAGCAAATACAGGATCAGAGTGGATTTAGAACAAGACACTTTACACACATGTTTTGGGCAGCTCTGAGACTTATTTAAACTTGTTGGAAATGAGACCTTTAACATTCACATTAAGAATGGCTATGTTAACTGGTGATTTTGTTTAACCCGAAATGCAGAGGTACTAATTAAAAAAACTGTAAAGACGCTCCTCATACTGACCAGGTTCTCCTGAGTACTGTACAGGTTCTCTCCAAACACTGTGTAAGCACAGATACTGATTAGTTTGCTCTTACAATACCCGCCTCAGAAAGCACTCTCCAAATATTTGCAAGATTTGCTCACCAAACACTCTATAAACAGCCTCATAAATATTCCACCAATGGCTCATAAATGCTCTAGAATCCACACTCCCAGGAAAGTAGAAGAGATTGTGTTTGTGCAGCCCTGTTCTCTCTGTTTCTACCTCTACCTGCTGCACACCTGTTCTCTCTCTCTCTCTCTCTCTCTCTCTCTCTCTCCTTGATTCTCCCTCCTCTTTCCCCTGTTGCACACCTGAGTTCAATCTGTGCTCACGGAGGAGGAGGGGTATTTAAAGGACCCAGGAATGGCATCTCTCTGGCACACACACACTCTGGGCAGGAATGTGGTGAGGAGCTTTTGTTCCCAATTTCTACTGTTTTCCCCCATGCATGTGAAGATGGCTGGTTTTTGTAAATTTAGTTTGTTCTGGAGATCACTGGTGGTCTTGTTTTTGGTCTTTTGGTTTCTTTTCTTCTTAGGTAGTTTTAGGGCAGGTGTCGAAAGCGATGGAACCTTCCCATCTTTGTTCTTTTTGGCCGGGTCTCCATCCCCTATTTTATTCTTTTAATCTTTGATAACTTTGTGGCAGTATTCACATTGAATAAACCTTGGGGTGGAACTTTAAATCTGTGTGGCTTCCTTGTATGTTTTCGGTCTCCATGTTTTGAGCCTTGGTTTGATTATTTTGCTCCAAAAGGTCCTAACAGCCCAATAAACTTTGTCATCCGCCTCCTGTTGTCCATCAGGAATAAAACGACCTGCCAAAAGAAACGTTTCATCCTGTCTGCAGAAGCCCATAAACAAGATCCAGATGCAGCTCCCCCCCTCCTCCAACAACCCCCTGATGTACAAAAATAGTGTCATGACACTCCACAGACACTCTACAAAAATGAGATTGTAAAAAAAGCCATGACACTCCACATACATTACATGTGCTCAAGGTTTAAGTGCAGGTGGATGTGTGGACTGATGGATGAAGTGAGAGCTTCATAAACCAAACAGAGAGAAGGGGACAGGAGGTGGACGAGAGTCTGTCCACTTCAGATGAGCAAACATCGAGCTGACGGAGACGTGTTCACTGACAACCCCCTTTAGGTTTTTATAACTGATGTTTAAGTTCAGAAAGAATGTGTTCCTGCCATGTGATGAACATCGCTACAAGTCTATATGATAACAGAGTGAAACTTTTAGTTGTTTTCTTACACAGATTAGGGAGACCCTTTCTCTTAATCAATCTTTCATCTCTTTCTCAGGCTGTAAACGAAGGGGATGTGTTGCAACTTGAAGCAACTTTGTAAGTGCCTTAAACCTGCATTCTTTGTAATCGCCACCAGGGGAGTCTCTGAAGATGAATCCACATCCTCAGCCAGGCTCAGTTATGTAATACGCCTGGCTGAGGATGTTGTACCTTTGGCTCACCTTCTTCATTTTTTCATGTTTTATTTTATTTCACTGCTAAAAAAAGGATTGCACTGTCTTAACACAACCATTAAACACCTTGGACATGATTTACTGCGAGGAGGGGGATGTGTAAACACTGAAACAAAACGCCAGTGTCATACAGTGAAAATGTCTGATTGTCTCCACGGAGAGCTCGGACTGTTTCTGCTGACTGAACTTCAGTCGCTGTATCTCAGAGTCAGACTGCAAGGGGAATCTCCTCTATTCTTAGTCCCGCTGTCTAAATATTTACCCAGCAGCCTTTGTTCCTGCTCCACTGACCTGAGGAGCGGCAGATACCTGCTGTAAACTGTCTCCTGCTAACTGATCTGATCTGCCGTAACAGGACGTCTGCACACTGTCGCCCGTCAACAAGGGTGGCCTCTCCAACGCCATGCTCTCAGTCCGAGGCTCGGCCTGCTGATTTCGCCCGCCGGCTGTGACAGGAACGAGCCGACATGTTGAAAATTCGGAATGGATCTACTGGAAGAGCCAAGGTATTGACGTCACACCGCTTCCGCTAACGAATACATGCATTTAACCAACAGATAAAACCGATAAAATCCCTCAAGTGGGTACAGTCCTCAGTGGAGGCTTGAAGCAGACATTCATGGTTATGAAGGTTCAATGACTCGCTGTGTCTGTTGTACTCTGCTAATTCAGTGCACACAGCACTGCACAGCGGGGCCTCATTTGTCAACAGAGCTGTCAATCATGGCATTTTATTTCGTTTATAGCACATATTACTAAAAAGAAGAAACGTCTCAGGAAAAAGATGACTTGAACACAAAATTGTTGAATATTAACACTGGGTTTGAGAAAAATCGATCTGAAGTGTTAACAAAGAGGAGGCGGGGCTTATGACTTCTACTGCAGCCAGTCAGCAGAGGGAGCTCTAAATCTTTTGACTTCACTCCAAGGCGGACCATTCTTCATCCATCTTTATATACAGTCCGTTGTCTGTGCTCACCATACCTGGCTCATTGGCTCAATTTGTGTTTGTTGAGGCACTGGAGTCAGAATTGTTGTCAGCTAATGAATGAGCCACAGCTGCAGACTGTAAGGCTTTGATAACTTGTCTTTTTTGATCACCACTCGCTCCTTTCAGTACAAACCTCTTGTTCAAATTTGGTCCAACATGGCCATGACCAAAATCCCAAACTCCAGTTGTTATTTACACATTAATTTAATATATTCCATTATTTTACATTATATTCCAAAAAACTGATTCTTTTTATGACTTCAAGTAGACCTCAATGCCTCTTCTTTGCATTTTAACTCAGCGTCTTCTTCCTGTTTCCCTGTCCTGATTGGAAAATAGAGAACTTCATTTCCAGATCGCTGGTATGGTTTCCGACTTGTGATTGGGTTGGCAGATTACATCCAGCATGCAACAGAGTCACAGATCAGCAGGATGATTAAATGATAAAAGCCCACTGACAGTCAACGTGACTCCACGCTTCCATCATCATTTTCATCATTATCTCTTTCATCATTGGATGACCACAGACTCGGACGGAACGCTGCAGGCTGGATCTGTAATGACATTAATTTGAGGGCTGTCTTTGGATAATTGAAGAATACCATCTGGTACACTTTAGGAGCCACTATTCAGTCCCTCCAGGAAGTTGCGATGTTGCGATCCCAACAATTAACGCAAATTCAACCAATCCCGGCGAATTCTGTGCGACCTTGCAATTTTGTCCAATCACCGCAACTTGGTTTGGTGACCAATTTGACTAAACTCACTTCCCTGTTTACATATGCAGATGCAGACATGTCCAACACAAACATCACATATTTACCTACAAAAACTACAGCTAAGGACCGTGCAAGGCTTTTTTTGCACGTTGTGGTGGAACACAAACGAAACAACATACAAGACATATCACAGTGACAGAGGCTGTTGCATCCGGATCGATTGCAAAAAGAAGTGCTGAAAGAAGCAAGGCGAGTTAAATAAATAAGTATGGATAGAGCTTGTATGATTGCGAAACAAACAGTGTGTGTGTGTACGTGCTCATGTGTGTGTGTGTGTGTGTGTGTGTGTGCGCGTGTGTGTTCGTGTATTCATGGAAGAAGTTAGGAATACAAAGTCGTAAAATGTTTAAAGTGGTTTAAAAGCTTACGGCAAAATATTAATTTGGATGTGTAATGAAATCAGATGAAGAGTGTGTGTGTGTGTGTGTGTGTGTGTGTGTGTGTGTGTGTGTGTGTGTGTGTTTGTGTGTGTGTGTGTGTGTGTGTGTGTGTGTGTGTGTGTGTGCAAAATCAGGCATTTTTGGCCACAACAATCCCCAAAAAAGTCTGTGAAATCCTGGAGGGACCGACTATTCCACCGTGCACAGGCGCTCACCCGACCTGTAAGAAGCAGCAAAGTGGCCGTTTCAGCCGAGACAGCCAAACCAAACCCTAAGCCTTCAGCATCTTCTCTAGCTCACCTGCCCAGAGCTACCTGTCTCCATCAACTCCACCTGATTCTAGCAACCTCATCAGACTCAAGCTCATAACCAACTCAGCCACCTCACAAGTACATCAACCTTACACCAGCCTACCTCTCACCTGACATCGGTAACCCCACCCTGCTCCACTAACCTTATCTACCTTGGGCTCACCTGTGCTAAGCAACTTAACCTTCCTCAAGCAACTGCAACTTCAACTGAAAAAAGTATCCTTACCCCGCTCTAGCAACCTCGCCCAACATAAGTAGCCAGAGCAGAAACCGATAAACGATCGATAAACCGATAACAGATACCTTTCTTTTGGAGCGTTCAGACTTCTTGGACATGTTCTTCATCTTTTTATGAAGATGAAACAAAACCTGAAAAGAACAAATATCACACTGTGAATTAATGAAAGGTCAGTGACAATCATTTAAAAGTTACAGGAATATGAACATGACTGACAGCAACAGTGACGTTAAAGTGACAGTAACAGACAGTACCTGACATTAACTCACGCTTGCTGCTGCTTAACTTAGTGAAAACGAAGGTGACCTTAAAGTCTTTCGTCTTTAAAGTGACAGGTGCTTCTGTGCTGCTGATGAGGGGAGGACATACAGTCCACTATTTGGATATAAGGTTTGACTGTTTTCACGCAAACCCAAGAGGTAAATGAAAAAAAAAACATATTTTACATGACCATTTAACTTCAACTTAAGAGTCACTGTATTGTTATTTCATGTTTAATGTTTTTTTTTACCAAGTTTAATGTCAACCTTTACCTCTTATTTTGAAACTTCTCACCGGTAGTCCTATTTGTCTGTCTCCACGTGCTTGTTTTTTACGCACAGGTTTTATGACCAGCAGGACTTTGAGTGCGCCCTTTGGTCCCCTGTTATTAGTCTGCAATCTACTGCAGCAGGGAGTCAAACATTATCCTGTTAATTTAGCACTTTATCAACTCACCTTGGCGTAGCAGCAGCTAATGAGCAGCAGCGGCAGCAGGTACCCGATCACCAGGATGGTCACCTTGTAGGCGGGCTTGGAGGCTCCGGACCACCTCTCCCAGCAGAAGGTACTGTTGGGGGCTTTGGGGTGATTCGTGAGGATCTGGTGCTGCGCCACAGGCACCGAGCACACCAGAGACAGTGTCCAAATTACGCACACTCCAGCCAGCGCGTTTCTGCGGCTCCTGACGCACGCAGACTTGTTGGAGAGCACCACGGCGATGTAGCGGTCCACGGACATGGCCACCAGAGTGAAGATGCTCACCAGCATGCTGACGGTGAAGAAGTAGTGCCCAAACTTACAGATGAAGGCTCCGAACACCCACTCCGGCAGGGAGTAGATGGTGGCCTGGAAGGGGACGCAGAAGAGGAGGAAGCTGAGGTCCGCTACACTCAGGTTCAGGATGAAGATGTTGGTGGGGCTGCTGGAGGGCTTCAACCCTCCTCCTCCCCCGCCGCCCGTGTACCTCACCTTCCCGATCACCACCATCACCAATGAGTTCCCCACAACCCCAACCACGAAGATCAGCCCGAAAACCACCGGCACGATCACCGCCTCCGGCCCGGCCCCGCCGCTCTCCGCCGCGCTGCCCGCGACCTCGGACCGGTTCAACTCTGAAAGTTCAGCCCAGCCGGAGGAGTCGTTTCCCGGCGGCAGCATGTTGGAGCTCCGCGGCTGGAGCTGGAGGTTAGAGCAGAAGGTGGAGGTACCCGCGACAGAATGAGCCCATGATCCGGATCAGACACGTCCAGTCACAGAGTCCGGACTTTACAGACTGCTGGAGACTCAGGAGAGTTATTGGAGACATGCAGTACTGCTTCCTGTCAGGTGCTTTCAAAATAAAACCCCATTAATGACCGCAACAACCATGATGACCTCAACTTTTTCATAGAATCTGGGTCATGCCCTGTTGATTGACACTGAGCTTCTTATATTCATTTTAAAATAACTTTATTTATACATCAAAAGACGAGCTGAGAAAAACAAGTTCAATACATTCTGAGCTTTCCAAAAGCACGTTTATTATTCATGGTCAACTAAAAGTCTTTGAATGTTTTTTCTTCTTCAGCGTCTCCTTAATATTTCACAGAGTGTGTCATTTTTGTACTGTGTGTAGCACATTTAGGATTTTTGTTTTATTTTGCTGCTCTTTTCTCTTTTAAAGCTGACTCTGGGAGCAACACACACAAACCCCCACCTGTACTGTCCTGTGCAAATATTAAACATCCTGTTTGATATTAGAGCATTTTTATCAACTCAGAAAAGTTCCACCATTAAAGAAAGGCCGTATTGCACAAGAGGGAGTGATGTTGTTTGCTAAACATCAACACTGCTGTTGTTCAGTTGTAGGTGTGCAGCCTTTAAGTCTCCTGACGAACAGCTGCAACGCGGCGGCCATTTGCGTTTAGATCTGTCACGATCCTAATCCTGCATAACTCATATCCTGCATAAATCAAAAATAAAATTCACCTGAGTTGATTTTTTTGGCTTGTACACATGTTAATTTCTGCTGTCAAAACAGACGTGTTACTATGGGAGTGTATGGGACTTCTGGGTGTTTTGGACCAAAGTCAAGTGGACGCTCGAGGAACTGCAGCCTTTTCACTTCAGTTTTCAGCACCGGAGGCTGCAGCTCGGTCGTGTCCTACATCACACTCATTCCCTAATCCCTACATAGGGAGCTCTCTGTAGTCGACTATCTAGTCAACTTATTCAGCTCAATAAAACAAAACACATTTTTGAAAAATATTTGCTCTCTCGCCAGCTGCCGACAATGACATCATTGCTGTCGCACGACAGGAACGTGCAGCTGAGCACCGGCCCAGGATCAAAAATAACAGTAGATAACGGCATGCATTCCAGTGATAACTAAAGGTCTGCATTTCTGACATATATTTAAAGACATTTGTGATCCAATACACATTTTTTTTGTGTGCTAACAGACTCTGGTCTCATGCCTGTCATCGTCATTAGGAAACACTGACGTCCTTCTTTTGAAAATCAGATTCTTCATTTCAGTAAAAATGTCTCCAAATATGAACTTTTTGTGTTTCTGTCGTGTGTTCATGCTGGTCGCTCTTCTGTCGTGCGTCTGAGATCAGTCAGAAGATACTTTCCGCTCGTAAAAAGCTTTGACCCGCAATGCATGCTGGTATTTATTGCTTGGGTTTGTGATCATTAGTTGTGTAAGATGATTTAACATAATGAGATTTCAGTCTTACAGCCTGTTTTATGATGACATTAAAGAGATTTTGCACAGTAGGTGTGTGATAGAGGAGGAGGTGGTCAGACGACGTGTTGACAGACCACAGAGTTCATTTCCTCTCTCATCATTTATTATATCCGGGATATAATAACGTTTTTATGACTGTGTGTGTGTATGTGTGTGTGTGTATGTTGTAATTGCAACTGTTCATATTAAAGATTTGAACCATGTTGTGGACTATTACAGTTTTTCTCAGTCGCTTTGGTACATTTGTCAGATCAGAATTGAAATTCTCAAAACTACTTGTTCAATCTTCACACCATTGTGTCACTTGTGCACATCAAAAATGCAGTTTCTCATTTCTTTGAACAAGTTGCAAATGCTTTGGTACATCCATGCATATGATTATGTAAATTCTCTGCAGTTTCCTACATTATCTATTGCTTATGTCATGTTGATCAAAATGTATTATAATAATGGGTCTCTGTTTAATAGTCTCCCCCCTCACAACATTTAGGCATTAGTTCATCGCATAAGTCTTTACATGCAAAATGGTTGAACAAGTTGTCATAATATGTCAAACATATTTCTATACAGTTCCATTAGACTTTTTTTCTAAATCTGTCCTGAATTGGTAAATTGCTCCCAGGTGAATCTTGACTTTCTCTAACGAAGGGAAATGTGTGAAGCATTAGCTTTCTGTATCGCAATGACATGGTCTGTCAACAAATTACAGTACAAACAGTGAAAGTGTAAATGTGAATCTTGTCCAGTCTCTTGCAATCAATCTCCCACATACACTGAGGTGTAACTTACAATTTACAATAATTGTCATCAGAACTTTAGCCATAGTTTATATCAGAACAGCCCTCCAGAGTACACTGTTATATTGACAACATGACTTGACCACCAATTTGACTGTCTTATCCGAACACAATGACACAAGGACTTGTCATTCTGATGGCACTGACATGTTCATTGACACAGATATTTACTTTTGAGAGATGAACTAAGGATTTTGAGCAAGAGACTGGCTTTTGCAGGTAATCCATGGTGTTCTGCTATTTGTACGAATTGTTTTGAGAAATGCACTTACTGTTTTGCAAATGTCGAGGATGATTCGAGAAATGTACCAAAGCGACTGAGAAAAACTGTAGTGGACATGACGCTCGATAAGTCCTGAAGTGAAGCTGAAAGCATCACACCTGAAGAGGGCTGTGATTGACAGGTTGACCAGAGAAGACAGACAGATCAACAGACAGACAGACAGACAGACAGAGAGACAGACAGACAGACAGAGAGACAGAGACAGACAGAGAGACAGATTGACTATCTCAGAGCAGAAGAAGAAGATGAAGTGATGAACAGGTGTGATCTGTCATCTCAAAGGCGTCTGATTCATGTCCTTATCAGTAGCTAGAGACATGCCGGTTACCATGGAGACGGATCAGGGCGACGACGTGCTAGTTTTGTGTAAGACTGACTCAAGGTCATATCTGCTTGTTTTTGTACAAAAACTGCATGATGAGTAATCAATGAAGTTTATTTAAAGCCGGTTACAGTGACCGTCATCCAGTGAACACCCTCCTGAATCTGTGTGTGAAATCTGGGGTTTCAAATGTGGATTCAAAGTTGTTCTGGTGATTTCTTTTTTGCAATAAAAACACATAGATGTCTATATAATTGATGCATTAAAGTTTCCTCATGCAGATAACTCCCTAACGGATATAGAGCGACTTGTTAAATGTGAACTTTCCGCTCTGTTGTTAGGCGTTTTCATCCTGTTAAAAAGACGTCGACTCCTTTAATCCGATTTGTCTTCAAACAAGACGAAGAAACGCGTCAGAGAAGTGAAACTCTCATCACTTCTTTCCAACACTAATGAGCTCTCGGTGTCGTTTATTCCTCCCCTTCTTCATTTCCACACTTCCTGAAACGGAGAAAATGTAATGAATAAAAAAACTAATGAGGATGTTTAAACGAGCGGCTGGAACCAAACTCAGACGCACCAGCTGGAAAGTTTTATGAGTTTTTTTTTTAAATTCCTCTTTCCAGTGGGAGAAAACCAGCTAGCAGCAAGTTAAACAAATATTGACATGTTTTTGATCATTTGGGGTTTTTCAATGTCCGCATTAGGACTCTTTCCTCTTAAAAACACAAATAGATGCACATACTCTGCCTCAGAAACTGTTTTATAAAGAAGTTGAGCTTTAAATGTAGTTAGTCTGTGACGTTTCTCTGCAGGATTTAACCCTTAAACTACTTAAGATTCACAATTTCATGTATCCTTCTTTTCTCTAATCAACAATAAAGAAGTTTGAAAGAGTTATTGAAAGTGAACCGTTTTCCTGATTGGAAAGGTTTCCTAAAAGACACTCTCAAAGAACCCAGTACATGTTTGAGTGTTGTGGATTTTATGCTTCATGTTCTGTCTGATCCAGACCAAGTTAAGACCAAGGCAGGGCGAGACTGAGACAAAAGCATATAGCAATGAAAAATCAGATGTGCAGCTTACTTAACGGTAACACCAGGATGGACATAATCAGGGGATAAAAATCAAAGTATAAATTAAATATTCTTGTTCTTTTGGAAAAGGGGCATTTTCCTTCTAATCAGAGTCAGTGGTGGTCTCGACCGGTCTTGATTTAAGATCAGGAGTCTGCCCACTCTGAGATCGAGACAAGACCGAGTAAAAATGCTCTCGATCCTAAAACTAGAACCTTTGTTTTCTAAACTAGAAAACGGAAGGACACCTTTGAAAAGTGGTCTTGAGACCGGTCTGGAGTACTACAACATAAGCTCCATGTGCTTTACACTGAGTTCCAGAGAGAAGGAGTAACTAAAGACCCCCGCTCCAGACTTTGATCTGATGCTGGTTATGGCTAAAAGACCTCCTGATGAGCTGAGGAGCTGGGTCGGGTTGTAGTTTGTGAGCAGGTCAGAACTTTACTTGAAAGCTGAACCATTGAGAGATTCATGGATTGTAGGATTCTAATCATTAAACATGTCTTTAAATTGAACTAATCTGTCAGTAGAAGAAGTGGTTTCTCAGTTTTTTGATTTCTCTGATTGAATCCAGTGGACAAACATGAGCTTGAATCCCCAGAAAACCTTCCTATAATTGAGACCAACCGGCCAATCACAGAGCTCCTCCACTTGACCCCCCCCCGGCCAATCATTAACCAGCTGCACATGGAACATGGAGCGCCTCAGCTGCTGATAAATCCAACTTTCCCAGACGTCGTCACGATTAAAACTTAAAACCGTCATTAATGTTTGTTTTTCTGTGTGATGTGTGTCAGACTAATCTCACGCTTTAGTGTTTAACATGATGTGTTTTAATTCAATATAAAGCAGGTGGACATGTTTTGCTCCTCTATGACACAGAGTACATCTGATTAAGTCGACTTATTCACAACATTGCATGAAGAAGGGATACATAAGACATCCCGAGGTCCGAGTCGGTTACAAAGAAAAGAAAGAAAATGGTCAAAATGTCAACATCTGTATGCCAAGCATTACAGATTATAAGAACGAAAATGTACAGAATTAACAGTCTGCTATGATAATAGACAGACTTAGACTGTGTCGTCCCCACAACCATCGCCGTCCTCATTCATGCACGGCCTGCTCCGACCTTCACCTCAGCAGCGAGGAAGTGTGGACAACAGGAACGAGAGGAATACAAAGGAGAAATCCTTCCTGCATATTATCCAATATGTTCTTTTGTGAAGTGTCTCGAGATAAAACTTATGAATTGAACATTTATGAATTGGCGCTTCGCAATAGAGGTGGATGTCGGAGCAGGCCGTGCATGAATGAGGACGGAGGTGGTTGTTGGGACGACACAGTCCGATGGTGGAGGCTGGGCGTCAGGGAGGTCGGGTGGTAGTAGTGCCAGATCACCTCGCTGAAGGTTGTGGGAGCTCCGTCTACTCGAGAGCCCAGCTTCTGCTGCCACGGCCTACTGGGATTCTAGCACGGATGGGGGTGGGGAGTCTGAGAGGGAGACCTCACCAACATTACAAACACTGACTCTTTAATTATATCGGTTAAATACGGTATTCTTGAAAATGTGTTTATGTACTAAACCTCTGAATGTGGTGCCAATTTGTCTTCAGTAGACGCTATGGTCGACGCCTATGAGGACTTTGGGAGTCTTTCCGCAAAATTCTTGTTCCGCCCTATAAACCCGGGACGTCATATTCAAACTATTTCCACCTTGTCTGGAATATTTTTGTGGAAATGGAAAAAATTTGAAATGGACAAAGACATTCCTTATTTATCAACTTATTTATCAGCTGCACTGCAGCTGTTCCATAAATGAACCCCCTCTGTTGTGATGCAGTGTAGTTTCATGTTGGTCCTTACTGCTGGTTTTTGGAACATATATATTCCTCTGAGGTCGAGCTTACTTTCTCTCATGTTCCATGATTTTGATGGTTTGAAAGTCGACCATGCAGGTCCTTGATTCAGTGTTTTCAGTTTGAGTGTGTGAGTGTGTGTGTGTGTGTGTGTGTGTGTGTGTGTGTGTGTGTGTGTGTGTGTGTGTGTGTGTGTGTGTATGACAGTAACATCTGTCTGATGATGTTTCAGTTAAATTGACCTCTTTAGCCCAAACTGAATGAATCCAGTAGAAGTTCCTCATGAGTTATATCTGTCGCCATGTTTCATTAAACACTCTGCTGACTGTACAGTGTGTGTGTGTGTGTGTGTGTGTGTGTGTGTGTGTGTGTTATCAGTGTGTCACACATTAACAAAAAAAACACCCTCATGCTCGCACAGCTGCTGACTGGATGTTCTGCGTCTATATTTAGATATGTTTCATTCATGGTGCAAATAAATTACTCATTCAGTGTGAGAGTGGAAAAGTACCAAGATATGACTTTTTCTGTTTTGCTTTATTTCTGTTAACTTTTAATACTTTTTAAGTATAAGACAGCCATAATCAGAAATACAACTATACATTTAATTTCACCCAACAATAAGAAGTACATTTCAGCTGTTATATATAGATCTTTTTTGGGGGCTTTCTATGCCTCCACTGTAGAGACAGGATGGTGGACAGATCCCTAAATGTCTTGGTCTTGACTCGGTCTCGATCCCTAAAAGTCTCGGTCTTGTCTCAGAGCGCTCTGGTCTCGGGTAAGTCTTGGTCTCGGTCAGTGTGGCCTTGACTACAACACTAGACAGGTCTTCTGTACGTCCCTTTCACACAAAAGGTAGACCAGATGTTACCCATATTAAAGTTTGTCTTTGTTGCTTTGTCTCAATTCTTTGAATTTATAACTTTACGGAGAACAACTGTCCAAAATGTCAACAATAAATGCTTTTTCTATTTTGTGATGAAACAAGATTTAGTTTATTTTTTTGTCCAGTGAAAAGTTAGACTTGTTAAAAACAGTGTGAGTCATCCCATGCAGAAGAAGAGGAGCCCGTCTAAGAGTCCAAGGCTCAGCGTCTTTTCACGATTGTTTTAATGAGCAAAGAGCGTTTGCAGTAGCAGCAGGTGGCCAAAAGTCAGCGTTAGACATCGGCATGGAGCGGCTGTAATTTAGTGAAACACATAAACTCATGTTACAGCCCTTTAACTTCTTTGTCGCTTTAGTTTATGAGTGTATAAAGCAGAGCCGGAAGAAGGCCATACAGTATTTAATACATCGATGATTGAGGACATGTTTTTTCTACCGGCTCGGGTGCCTCCAAAGAAAGAAAAATGAAATAGTTTGTCCTCGGAGAAGTTTGAAAAGATGTTCTCTGCGGCTTTATGAAGTGGAATAAGGAGTCGATACACAATAGAATCTGGTCAAAGACGCAGTCCGGTGCATCACTGAAAAACAAGAAGGATACGACTGAACAAACTCCTGAAGTCTGAGAACTATTCATTCAACATTTTCACCGCCTAAGTTTAAGTAACATCAGAGGAAGGCGCTGTTTTGGTAACAAGGACACTTATTTATTGATTCAACCGTTTCATTTTGAAACACAGTAAAGATGTGGAGTAAATCTTTTAGGTTATCTGAACTGTTCTCTTTGTTTCTGCTCTTATAAGCGACTGTATGAAATGAATCATCATTCTGAGAACTTAAAAATGTTGAAGAAACCACACAACCTTGAATGAATGAATGTATTCACATCAAACTGCAGCTACACAACAGTTCTGACATGTTTTAATACCCTCTTCAGGTGTACAGGAAGTGCTTTCATCAACATTGTATTCATAAGAATATTGAAGATTCACTCTGAAGAATCTACGTGATCAATTTGACATTTTCAGCTGGATTTACAGTTTGCATCAAAACATTTGCTGACTGGTTTGATTTTTCCAGCCAATCAGAGAGCTGGAGGTCAGGGCGTGTAACTCGTGAGAAGTTTGCGTCACCTCGTCTCTGATAAGCAGCTGGACAAACCAGCGGCTGCTCTGATTGGTTGATGGCCGGGCAGGTTCAGGTATATAAGAGCGGCTTGCTCCTCCAACAAATCATCATCGTCATCGACACCATGGCCTTCCTCTGGATCGTTTCCTGCCTCGCCTTCGTCAGCGCCGCCTACGGTGAGACACACTCCCACAACTCTTTACACTCACACATAAAAAACATCGAGTCATAGATCTTCATCAGACAAAATTTAAGGAGTGAAGTTCATGTTTCTGAGTCAGCTTTCAAAAGAATCCACAACTGGAAGTTCGGCTTCATCACGTTGAGTCAAAGACCTTCACTCAGGCAGAATATCCCTTTAACTTCTGTCTTCTGTCGTCCTGTCAGGCTGCGGCACCCCCGCCATCCCTCCCCAGGTGTCTGGCTACGCCCGCATCGTCAACGGTGAGGAGGCCGTGCCTCACTCCTGGCCCTGGCAGGTGTCCCTGCAGGTGAGTCAGCTGAACACCACCAACACAAACTGCTCTCTTACTGTTTTCTCTTCCTGTGACTGACTTCAGCTTGTTTCTACTCTCAGCAATCCAGCGGCTTCCACTTCTGTGGAGGATCTCTGATCAACGAGAACTGGGTTGTTACCGCTGCTCACTGCAACGTCAGGTCAGTTCATCACCTCACGACTCCACCTGTGGCTGTCAGCTTCAGTCCTAATGGTTCCTTCACCTCACAGATATTTATAACATGCTTAAAATGCCAGCTAGCTGCAACTCATGTTAGATTGAATCGGATGAAAAGATAGTATGTTTGTTAATGGTCATGGTCTGTAGGTACAAGCTCAGGGATGTGTTTGAATCAGAAAATTAAAGCAGTAAAAGAGACGAGAGCAAATTGCAAACATATAGAAGATGTGTGTACTGGCCCTTTAAATCGCTGCTTTCTGCTGTTCCTGTCAGGACCTACCACAACGTGGTCCTTGGAGAGCACAACAAGGGATACGGCTCTAATGAGGCTATTCAGAAACTGAAGCCCGCCAAGGTGAGAACAGCCAATCAGTCAATTTGTCACTCAGCCAATCAACCAATCGGCAAATCAGCTTCCAGGACATATTGTTTTAGCAGTTGATCCAGGGGTGGTAAAGAATTCAGCTACTAATTAAGCTATTCAGGAAGATAACACTTTGATTCTGAAATGTTAGTGGTTAAAGTAGATATGATTATTGGAGACAGAAAGGTAAATAAATGCTACATACTTCAGGCCACCCCTGCACAAGTCATTTCCCCAGCTGTGCCACCCCAGTCAGAAAACTCTGGATCCGCCCCTGACTATTCCCCCACCACTCATCCTTCCTCTGCTCTCTTCAGGTGTTCACCCACCCCGGCTGGAACCCATCAACCATCAACAACGACATCAGCCTGATCAAGCTGTCCAGCCCCGCTCGCCTGGGATCCAACGTGTCTCCCGTCTGCCTCGCCGACTCCTCTGACAACTTCCCCGCTGGCATGACCTGCGTCACCTCCGGATGGGGTCTGATGCGCTACAACGGTGAGGCTGAACAACCTCTCTGATTGTGTTCTTGATTCTTAAGGTTTTGAGTCAGACTTTATTCTGAAAGTGGAGGATGTGTTTGAGTGTTTTGTTCGCCTCCCACAGCTCCCAGCACTCCCAACCAGCTGCAGCAGGCCGCTCTTCCCCTGCTCTCCAACACTCAGTGCAAGTCCCACTGGGGTAGCAACATCTCCGACGTGATGATCTGCGCTGGTGGAGCTGGAGCCACCTCCTGCATGGTGAGGCCCCGCCCACTTTTTGGTCTCTCTTTTCCCTTTGCTCTTTGCATTATTTCTAATAATTTGCTCTTTTTTTCAGGGAGACTCTGGCGGTCCCCTGGTCTGCCAGAAGGACAACGTCTGGACTCTGGTCGGTATCGTGTCCTGGGGAAGCAGCCGTTGCTCCACCTCCACTCCCGCCGTCTACGCCCGTGTCACCGAGCTCCGTGGCTGGGTTGACCAGATCCTTGCTGCCAACTAAATCCTCACAGGCAACGCCGTTATCACCGACCCCACCTGACCGTGGGCAGTCACACTTTGGAGTGTGTGGACAATGAATGACAATAAAAAAACATTTAAATGTATTCATGTGTTTGTGGTTTGTGTTGTGTGCTCTGAAGAGAATCCTCTAAATGTTACCCCTCACAGTCAGCAGGGGGCGCCCTCAATCACAGCCTCTACTTAAAGATAAGTGGCTGAAATACAACTCAACAATGACCTTTTTTTTGGCGGCTCTGCTTCGGAGTAAATTGCCCCATTTAAATCCTCCATTGACATTTCAAAAAGTCCCAAAATATCAATATTTCAAATCCTGGAACCAAACCAACCGGCTTCTCGAATACTCATGACTATAAAACATTTGTTTTGCCAAATTAACAGCTAGAAAACTAAGAAAAAAAGGCAAATGAAGACTGCGTACTTCATTTGTTTTCTGGGAGTGAAGGAACTACACATTCCACGATCCATTGCGATTCCATTGAAACCCAACAAACAGTAGTTTAGCACTCTTCTATCTGATTGTACACAGACCGTCTTTCTACATTTGTCTTCATCGTAGAGTTTATATTGTTGATAATCATGTCGTCATATTTTATAGTTTGTGTTTATATATCGTGGTGAACTTCAGTGGTAGCAGGCGACAGCCAATGTTCACTCAGGCGGGAAACATTGTCATGGTAACAGCAGGCTCCACCAATCAGAGACATTGCTGTGACACTCTAGGATTGTGGGTAGTGTAGTTCTGTCCCCATAGATCGTAAATAAACCATATCTATCTCTAAATACAGGAATCTGTGTGTGTGTGTGTGTGTGTGTGTGTGTGTGTGTGTGTGTGGTGTGTGTGTGTGTGTGTGTGTGTGTTTGTTGGTTTAGGTTCTACACAACCATTCGTCAGACTTGGCGGGTGTATTGCTCTGGACCCAAGGAAGAGCAGTGCTGATTCTTAATTTAAAATGAGCTCATATTTTTGCTAAAACATTTAAAATTATTTTGCTGTGCCGCGCAATGCGATGGAATCAAAACCTACTGGAAATATGAGAAGAGTGGAAACAACACACCACGGCGCACGAGCAGAAGGACACTCGCCCGAGGCAATGTTGTTTAGTCACTCGTTAGCTAACCGTCGTTTACAAAAGTCGGATGAAATCCCTCACTCCAGAGCTCATTTGGGCACCTTGGCTGACCACAGAACTACACGTTGCCCCAAGCGCAATCCTAACCATGCAGCCACGTTCTCACCAAAGACATTAAAAACAAGCACATTCTGAGCAGGCACTGCACTAGTTTTTCTTAAAATGAGGTTGATATCATACAGACTTGTGTCTTCTACAGGAGCACAGCATCGTCTCACACTCATGTAGCTCGTGGTCAGTGTACCTTGGATGGTTATGACATCATGGCTGATTATCAAATCCACCTGGAGAAAATTAATGGGTGTTTTACTTCTGTTGAGCTCAATTGTTTCTTTTAACTTTTAACTGAAACTATTTTTCACTGGTTGGATTTTGAGAGAAATATGGAAAAGTTAGCTTGAGTGAAATATCAAGGTTGATTATGATAAATCTCAACCACAGGGGGCGCTCTATTGTGTCCCAATTATAGATCACTTATAACAATGATGTTGTTTTGGGGTGCGAGGTCTAAGCAAACAAAGAAGGGCTTTCAACTTGCTTTCTTTCTTACAGCGACTCGGGGAAAAATGGTATAATGACATGAGCGTGTATTTCTTTCCTGGTCTTCTGACTACTCAAAGTGCTTTTACACCGCAGGTCACACCTACACATTCAAACACTGATGGTAGAGACTGCTGTGTAGTATCCATCAGAAGTAACTAATCCCATCAGAGATTTAGATATTAGATCATCCATTCACAAGAATACATTTGTAAGAGAAGAAAGTCGTAAATTTACGAAATTAAAGTCGTTATTTTAGTCTACTTATATCAGAAGAGCAGCAGCTGCCTGTTTGAAAATGAGGAACATGGAGCATCTCATGAAGTTATACTTCAGTAAAGGTTTCACAGATCAGGAAATACATTTACTAGATAGACAGATATATATATATCTATATATATATATGATAGATAGATAGATAGATAGTTTATTGATCCTGAGGGATTTTCAAAGCATCCAGTAGCAGTTTACAAAGACATGCACAACATGAAACATTTGTTACAAATAAAACAAGCAACCGCTTTCCCCTCCTCCCATACACATATATATTAACCCAAAACAAAGATTTAAGTAAGCCCGTACATTAATTAAAATGAAAGCTGTGCAAGTAAAAACAGACTAATACAAAGAAAATTGAACATAACCCCGTGCAGGAATTAAAAATATACATGCAATTTAAATGGACCCTATAAACAGTTTAAGGAACATTGGTAAAATTAGACCTGTACATGAAAATAAAAAGTGTAGACCTTCCGAAGTTTGTGTTGTTTATGCACTGTATGCACAGCAGTGACTTAAATGAAGGTAGTGCAAAATGTATGAAAAAAGATTTTAAACAACAGTCAGTGCAAACATTAAAGGTGCAGATAAAATGATTATCCAATAGGCATTTAAGTGTCCAACTAGGGCTGACTCTTATGGTAGCTGTGAAAAAAAACACTAAACATCTTTTGGCAGATAATTTGTTTTCCCTTTAACGTGGCATTGATACGCCGCCATAAAAGTCTATGAGAAAAATCAGCCAACTTCATGCTAAATTGATAACCTTGTAAACATTTTTTGAATTAGTTTATGGTCTCAATCTTTAGCTTCAAGTCTTCTTCACAGCTTGATGCTCATTTTTAAAAACACATGTGACCATCTAAGTATTCATTTTTTGGGGGGTGTTTGAACAGGTCAGGGCGTGTAACTCATGAGAAGTTTGCATTGCCTCGTCTCTGATAAGCAGCTGGACAAACCAGCGGCTGCTCTGATTGGTTGATGGCCGGGCAGGTTCAGGTATATAAGAGCAGCTCGCTCCTCCAACAAATCATCATCGTCATCGACACCATGGCCTTCCTCTGGATCGTTTCCTGCCTCGCCTTCGTCAGCGCCGCCTACGGTGAGACACACTCCCACAACTCTTTACACTCACACATAAAAAACATCGAGTCATAGATCTTCATCAGACAAAATTTAAGGAGTGAAGTTCATTGTTTCTGAGTCAGCTTTCAAAAGAATCCACAACTGGAAGTTCGGCTTCATCACATTGAGTCAAAGACCTTCACTCAGGCAGAATATCCCTTTAACTTCTGTCTTCTGTCGTCCTGTCAGGCTGCGGCACCCCCGCCATCCCTCCCCAGGTGTCTGGCTACGCCCGCATCGTCAACGGTGAGGAGGCCGTGCCTCACTCCTGGCCCTGGCAGGTGTCCCTGCAGGTGAGTCAGCTGAACACCACCAACACAAACTGCTCTCTTACTGTTTTCTCTTCCTGTGACTGACTTCAGCTTGTTTCTACTCTCAGCAATCCAGCGGCTTCCACTTCTGTGGAGGATCTCTGATCAACGAGAACTGGGTTGTTACCGCTGCTCACTGCAACGTCAGGTCAGTTCATCACCTCACGACTCCACCTGTGGCTGTCAGCTTCAGTCCTAATGGTTCTTTCACCTCACAGATATTTATAACATGCTTAAAATGCCAGCTAGCTGCAACTCATGTTAGATTGAATCGGATGAAAAGATAGTATGTTTGTTAATGGTCATGGTCTGTAGGTACAAGCTCAGGGATGTGTTTGAATCAGAAAATTAAAGCAGTAAAAGAGACGAGAGCAAATTGCAAACATATAGAAGATGTGTGTACTGGCCCTTTAAATCGCTGCTTTCTGCTGTTCCTGTCAGGACCTACCACAACGTGGTCCTTGGAGAGCACAACAAGGGATACGGCTCTAATGAGGCTATTCAGAAACTGAAGCCCGCCAAGGTGAGAACAGCCAATCAGTCAATTTGTCACTCAGCCAATCAACCAATCGGCAAATCAGCTTCCAGGACATATTGTTTTAGCAGTTGATCCAGGGGTGGTAAAGAATTCAGCTACTAATTAAGCTATTCAGGAAGATAACACTTTGATTCTGAAATGTTAGTGGTTAAAGTAGATATGATTATTGGAGACAGAAAGGTAAATAAATGCTACATACTTCAGGCCACCCCTGCACAAGTCATTTCCCCAGCTGTGCCACCCCAGTCAGAAAACTCTGGATCCGCCCCTGACTATTCCCCCACCACTCATCCTTCCTCCGCTCTCTTCAGGTGTTCACCCACCCCGGCTGGAACCCATCAACCATCAACAACGACATCAGCCTGATCAAGCTGTCCAGCCCCGCTCGCCTGGGATCCAACGTGTCTCCCGTCTGCCTCGCCGAGTCCTCTGACAACTTCCCCGCTGGCATGACCTGCGTCACCTCCGGATGGGGTCTGATGCGCTACAACGGTGAGGCTGAACAACCTCTCTGATTGTGTTCTTAATTCTTAAGGTTTTGAGTCAGACTTTTATTCTGAAAGTGGAGGATGTGTTTGAGTGTTTTGTTCTCCTCCCACAGCTCCCAGCACTCCCAACCAGCTGCAGCAGGCCGCTCTTCCCCTGCTCTCCAACACTCAGTGCAAGTCCCACTGGGGTAGCAACATCTCCGACGTGATGATCTGCGCTGGTGGAGCTGGAGCCACCTCCTGCATGGTGAGGCCCCGCCCACTTTTTGGTCTCTCTTTTCCCTTTGCTCTTTGCAGTATTTCTAATAATTTGCTCTTTTTTTCAGGGAGACTCTGGCGGTCCCCTGGTCTGCCAGAAGGACAACGTCTGGACTCTGGTCGGTATCGTGTCCTGGGGAAGCAGCCGTTGCTCCACCTCCACTCCCGCCGTCTACGCCCGTGTCACCGAGCTCCGTGGCTGGGTTGACCAGATCCTCGCTGCCAACTAAATCCTCACAGGCAACGCCGTTATCACCGACCCCACCTGACCGGGCAGTCACACTTTGGAGTGTGTGGACAATGAATGACAATAAAAAAACATTTAAATGTATTCATGTGTTTGTGGTTTGTGTTGTGTGCTCTGAAGAGAATCCTCTAAATGTTACCCCTCACAGTCAGCAGGTGGCGCCCATTAATCCTCTATTGATATTTCACAATATCCTTATATCAATAATTCTAATCCTGGAACCAAACCAACCAGTTACCTGAATACTTGTGACTGTAAAACATTTAATCTGACCAAAAAATGGTCAGAAAACCGAAAAAATGGCAAAGGCACAAAACTGTGTACTGTAATTATTTTCTGGGAGTGAAGGGACTACACATCCCACAATCCATTGCAATTCCATTGAAACCCAACAAACGATAGTAACACTTACAACAAAAAAATTGTGAATTAAATAGAAATCTACAAATGAGTATTAGGGCCACATTAAGGGGAGGAAATCAGATATTTAGATATTTCGCTCATCTATTTACAAGAATACATTCTTAAGAGATGAAAGTCGTAAATTTACGAGATTAAAGTCGTTATTTTAATCTACTTATATCAGAAGAGCAGCAGCTGCCTGTTTGAAAATGAGGAACGTGGAGCATCTCTTGAAGTTGTTCTTTGGATAAGGTTTCACAGAAAAGGAAATACTTTTACTAAACATCTCTTGGCGCATCATTTGTTTTCCCTTTAACGTGGCCCTGATACTCCGCCATAGAAGTCTATGAGAAAAATCAGCCGACTTCATAGTAAATTGATAACCTTGTGCACATTTTCTGAATGAGTTTATGGTCTCAATCTTTAGCTTCAAGTCTTCTTCACAGCTTGATGCTAATTTTTATGGACAAATGGTACCGTGAAAGTATATATTTTTTGTTGGGGGGGGCGTTTGAACATCCTGATTTTGGGATGTAATCCCATCTGAAAGTTTTCATCGTGTATTTTTTGAACAACTGGACCCAGGGTGCAGGACCAAAAGACGTACAGATGTTTTTACACATCATTCTCATACAGTCGTGTGTCTGTTCCTCAGTATCAGACAGCTAGGAGTCATCTCACCGACTCATTTGGCTCGTGTTACATTTGAAATGTCAACAAATAACCATTCAGAAGTGGGATGCTGCAGCAGTTAAAGCCTTGACCTCTGAACTCTTCAACTATCAAAAAGCATGGCTGATGACATCATCAGTCTGATTTTTGTGTTTCCTTGGCAACAGAGAGCTTGAAACAGAGAATACAAGCTCATCACTGCATCTAGAAAAAGACCAAAGGCAAACTGTGTGTAAAAATTCAATATTTTCAGGAACGTCAAAGGATTCAAACTTCTTTAAAAACATAAAATACAAACAATGGAATCCTAAATCGGGCTGCACGGAGAAGCAGTGGTTAGCGCTGTTGCCTCACAGCGAGAAGGTTCCTGGTTTTAATTCTCTCGTTTCAATAATCAGAAGCTCAGACAAGACAAGAGGGCATGAAACGAGAGGGCTCAGGCTGCAGCCACACACTCAAACATTTGAGGATATGTGTACGCATTTGTGGATCTTACACAGCAGCAGTGTTGCAAAAGTCACATAAAATGACAGCCAATGAGGAGGTCTGCATCAGTTGTTACCGATGATTTGTGTGTATTTTCAGGACTCACAGCATAAAAAGCTCACTTTCCTGCCATTATCAAACGAGTCAAAAATTCAAAATGAGTTTACGTATTTGCAGATCTGTGCACACGTTGGGGCGCGCTGGTGGCGCAATGGTTAGGGCGCGCATCCCATGTATTGAGACTCTCGTCTCAAGCGGTAGGCCCAGGTTCACCTCCACCCGTGGCCCCCCTCCACATGTCATTCCCCGCTCCCTCTCTCTGGTTTCCAACTCTATCCACTGTCCTCTCTCTGCATTAAAGGCATGAAAAAGCCCAAAATAAATCTTAAAAAAAAAAAAAAGATCTGTGCACACATTTGTGGATCTGAGTGAGAGTGAGCATTTACAGATTTGTGTATGCATCTCCAAAATACACTGCCTGGCCAAAAAAAAAAGATCACACTCTAATATTTCATTGGATCGCCTTTAGCTTTGATTACGCCATGCATTCGCCCTGGCATTGTTTCGATAAGCTTCTGCAATGTCAGAAGATTGATTTCCGTCCAGTGTTGCATTCGTTTTTCACCAATAAATTGTATTGATGATGGGAAAGTCGGACCACTGCGCAAAGTCTTCTCCAGGACATCCCAAAGATTCTCAATGGTGTTAAGGTCTGGACTCTGTGGTGGCCAATCCATGTGTGACAATGATGTCTCATGCACCCTGAACCACTCTTTCACAATTTGAGCCCGATGAATCTTGGCATTGTCATCTTGGAATATGCCCATGCCATCAGGGAAGAACAAATCCATTGATGGAATAACCTGGTCATTCAGTATATTTAGGTAGTCAGCTGACCTCGTTCTTTGGGCACATAATGTTGCTGAACCTAGACCTGAACAGCAGCAACCCCAGATCATAGCAGTGCCCCCCACAGGCTTGTACAGTAGGCACTAGGCATGATGGGTGCATCACTTCATCTGCCTCTCTTCTTACCCTGATCACTCTGGAACAGGGTAAATCTTCCTTCCAGTTTTTAATGATGTGTTGGACAGTTCTTAACCCAATTTTAGTAGTTTCTGCAATCTCCTTCGATATTTTCTCTGCTTGATGCATGCCAATGATTTGACCCTTCTCAAACAGACTTAACATCTTTTCCACGACCACAGGATGGGTCTTTCAACATAGAAGTTTAAGAAATGAGAAGCTACTCATTGCATCAGTTGGGGTTAAATAACTTGTTGATAATCACCCATGCAGTTATTAATGGGAGGCTCTTACCTATTTGCTTAGTTAAATCCAGATGGCGACTTTTTTTTTTGGAAAGGCAGTGTAGTTTGCAGCATATCCCACACAGGCTGTCACTGTCAAAAAACTGTGTCTTGTGTTTTTGCATAAAATTGTGCAAATCTGGGCTGACCTTCTGCTCCTTGTGTGTCGAGTTTCATTTTTAATTTCAGAGTGATATGTGTTTCTGTGCAGGTCGAGGTCATGCTGTAACGCTTACGTGGAGCTGCTGACAAAAACTCTGCTGGGAAACAAACCAGATGACAGAACATGAACACGCTGATCCACAGCAGGGTGGCAGAGATACCGGTGTTTTACTGATCCTTAGTCACATGTCTATACATTTTCTAAACTCTTCACTGTCTAAAGTCAGCACAGCCAAAGCTCAAATGCTAAACTGAAACGCTTTGCTTCCACATGTTCACCTGTCACACAGACTCAGGAAGATCTGCTTTCTGTTATATATTATCATATTTATCATAATAATGACTTTTATGCAGCAGATATCAAAACATTACAAAACTTTACAAAACACAAAACAATCACAATAATTGCTCCAAGGTTTAGATGTTCTGATTGATTTTGTGTTTAACATCACATATTAATATTTATATTTAACGATTGAGTTTTGCAGATTTACAGGGTGTCCGTAGCGTAGTGGTTAGTGCACACGCACCATGTACAGAGGCTATAGTCCTCCAAGCAGTGACCGGGTTCAAATCCGACCTGTGGTTCCTTTCTCACATCATTCCCCACTCTCTCTCTCTCTCTCTCTTGGATTTCTGACTCTCCTGTCACTCAATTAAAAGACAAAAATAAACCTTAAAAAATGTTCTGACTGAGATGATTCCAACTTTTAGATGTTCTTATTGATTTTGGTTTTATTATAATAACTTAATATGAATATTTATATTTAATTATTCCACGTGTTGAGCTTAAAGGTTATTTTTTTTCCTGAGTCCTGATGCGGACCAAAACATGGAAGTTGGTCTGGTAGCTGGAGAGGTGCCAGGGCACTTCCTGAGTACTGCCGAGGCGCCCTTGAACAAGTCACCAAACCCCCAACTGCGCTGTCAGCAGCCCCACTCTGACATCTCTCCACTAATGCATGTCCACAGCTCCTGTTTGAGCATGTGTGTGTTTCAGGCCTAAGTGTGTGTGAAGCACGTCTCTCAATAACTCAAAAAATAAAATAGTGCAGGATTTTTTTCTTCTCAAGTGACCTTTGAATATCATGACTTCCTTTTGTTTATCCATTCTTTCTATCTTTGTTGCTACCTCCCATACCTGCTCGAATCTGATCTGCATCTTTGCACCTTTGTAACGAGGATTCTCCCTCAATGTTATTTCTGAGGAGTTAAATAAATAATCATGATGTTGACGATGATAATGAATAACATGAGGAAATTTTCCGTTACAAGTCATACATTTTGAGCATTTGGGATTCAATCACTCTCCTCATGAACCTTCCTCAGATTGGAAAACTCTCCGTCAGCTCCACCTGTCCAAACTCCCACCACCTCTGATAACATGTGCCCTTGCTGCCTCCTGTCCTGTTCTGCCCCGTCTCGTTTCGGCCAATCCCGTCACACCTCTGGCTGTATAAAAGCAGCTCGCTGAGACAGACCCGACACGATCGAACAATGGCCTTCCTGTGGATCCTCTCCTGCCTCGCCTTCGTCGGCGCCGCCTACGGTGAGAGAGACTCTTTGAGACTACAACTTAGAGTGAGGCATGACAGCAAAGCATGCTGGGTAGAGAAAGGATAGTTGGGTCTTACTTAAGACTGTATATAAGAGATTATTACGCTTTTTTGTATGAAAATGTGAAAGTGCCTTAAGCCTGCATTGTTTCTAATGTCCTGCAGGGGGCGACTTGTTCCAAAAAGAAGTCCAGCTGCATTTGGAATCAGATGATCAAAATATTTATGTGTCAATATTTTCAATACTGTAATGGATATGTGAAGTCATCATGTGAACACAAGAGTCCTTAGCATTCAGCATTCACATCACTAATATGTGTGTATTTTTATTGCACTGGTTTAAGAGGGGATCTCAGGCCGGGGCAACCTCCCAGTTTAGGTTTTTGAACTTGTTTCAGAAGTGAAAATCAGCTATGATGCATCTCTGTTTGCAACATAAAGTAGAATAGAGATGCAGCAACCCGTAACCCCAATGGCGTCCAAGATACAATACTTGAGGCTTCAAACCAATGAGTGACGACACAGTGGAGATGTTCACTTCTTTCATGCAGCTGATGTTCTGAACAGAGCTTCAGCTGCAGGACGCTTGCTCACGTACATTACTCCTCAGAAGATTTTTGACAGGGCTCTGTTGCTGCAGGCAGGTCGTCCATTTTGTTTCTTTTTACACCTTTCAGAGATTTCTTCCATTTTTCATTACTCAGCCCGTGAAAACTTGTAAAAAAAAAATCTAATCTTCAGAAAGGAAAAACAGTCAACTGAACACGAGTACAAAATATATAAAAGTTTGGCCAATAACTCAAAAATATGGTCGGAAAATAGTGTTAAAATGAAGCCAAAACTCATGAAAGGTTCAGTAAAGATCTCAGTATCAGGAGTCTAACATTACTATCTGTATGTGTCCTCCTTTGGTAAAAGAAAACTGAGCTGATGATCTTTTGTTTAGTTCAATAGATTCAGTGATGGGTCGTAAAAATAGCGCACTTACTTGCTTTTTATGTGGAGCCTCTTCGTTGTAGAAGGATTATTGTGACACACACTGTTCCAAAAGGTCGACAATAAACAGATTATTAGTGTTTATGTCGCTAACGATGTCTTAATGATGTCGTCAGGTTGCGGCTCTCCCGCCATCCCCCCCGTCATCACCGGGTACTCCCGTATTGTGAACGGTGAGGAGGCTGTGCCCCACTCCTGGCCCTGGCAGGTGTCCCTGCAGGTAAAAACCACACACACAATCCACAGAAACACTAACACACACATTCACAACACAACAACAGTCGTCTCACTCTTTGCTTTTGTTTTTTCAGGACTACACCGGCTTCCACTTCTGTGGTGGCTCTCTCATCAGCGAGAACTGGGTGGTGACAGCTGCTCACTGCAATATCAGGTAAACACCCTCATCCTCCTGTCACTGTCGACAAGTTCGCTGATGTTTTGACACAAAATGGACGCCTAATGCTTCTTGTTTCTCTCCTGCAGGACTTCCCACAGAGTGATTCTCGGCGAGCACGACCGCTCTTCCAGCTCTGAGAGCATCCAGACCATGAAGATCGGCAAAGTGAGTGACTAAAAAAACATCACCTTTTACCCCATCATCATTATTTACCCCATCAGTCACTCAAATGATGTCATTTCCTGTCAGGTGTTCAAGCACCCCAAGTACAACGGCTACACCATCAACAACGACATCACCCTGATCAAGCTGTCCAGCCCCGCCCAGCTCAACCTGCGTGTGTCCCCCGTGTGCGTTGCTGAGACCGGAGACAACTTCGCCGGAGGCATGAGATGTGTGACCAGCGGATGGGGCCTGACCCGCCACAACGGTGAGACCACCTGCATCAACTGACCAATCAGAGGAGAGCAGGGGTGGGGCTGGTAACCAGTAGAAAACTCCTCAAAGGGGCTTTAAAGAACAACTCTAAATGCATGAAGAGGAACCTGCGCTCTTTTTACATTTCTTTCTTTTTTGAGAGTCAGAGTATCAACCAGTCTGTTAACACAGACCCAGCTCAGGGGGCTTAACGGGGTCTTATTTTAGATTTGGACTACCGTAGTGAATAATCAGACTGATAATGTGTCAATTAATATCGACCCCTTACGTGTAGACCTGCACCTCTCACTATGTGTCAGTATAAATGATTCAATTGTTTTTCTTGCAGCTGCTAACACCCCCGCCCTGCTGCAGCAGGCCGCCCTCCCCCTCCTGACCAACACTCAGTGCAAGCAGTACTGGGGAAGCAAAATCAGCAACCTGATGATCTGTGCTGGAGCCTCCGGCGCCTCTTCCTGCATGGTGGGTGATGCAGACAGATACCTACTCATGAGCTTGTGTTTTTCATACCGTGTTCTTAATTATTTATCTTCTTTTTTTTTTCTTCAGGGTGACTCTGGTGGCCCCCTGGTCTGCGAGAAGGCCAATGCTTGGACCCTGGTCGGTATTGTGTCCTGGGGCAGTGGAACCTGCACTCCCACCATGCCCGGTGTGTACGCCCGTGTCACCGAGCTCCGCTCCTGGATGGACCAGACCATCGCTGCCAACTAAGCTTGTCACAAAGGACAGCTTTAATGTTTTAATCATCATCAATAAAACATAAAAACTCTTAAATTGATCTGTATCTGTCGTTTGTTCACATTGAACTCTGATGCTGGTTCATACGATGCCCGCTTTGACACCCTTTGAAGTCTAGAGCTGGATGTGACATGAGACCTTTTTTCAGGGGAACAACATTTTAGCCTCTCTCATACAACAGCTGATGTTAGCATTGAGCCTCATCATGATACAAACTTCTAGCTAACAGTAGTGTTTGCTATGTGCCAGTTTTTGTAATCTGATAAAATTTAGTTTTTGTTTATGTCCCATAAAAAACAGTATAAAAAAATGATGGCTCTCTTTTCAGCCACTTCTCTTGTATTGCCTTACAATAGCAGCTACAAGCAGCAGTAAACAGCTTGCTTCGCTCAAAGATTCATATAGGCTAACGTATAACCGGGGTGTTGGCTGCTCGACGGCTCCAGCTTGCAGTGTCATTGTCTTAGCTGCATGTCGACTGCCTGAGTTGAGGTGGTAAATCAAGCGGCTGCCTCAGTGTTGAAAATTGAAGTGTTATTGCAGTTCCTTGAGTGTCCACTTGAGGCTGGCTGCAGAAGAACCAGAAGTCCCATACACACCCCATTTTAAAATATGTCAGTTTACAGCCTGGTACATAAAACAATTTTGTTATGAATAGTTTATTTCTTTATCAGTTTGTACTTTATGGGGCTTATTTTTTTTTTACTCAAACGTTTTGGTTCTATGAAGGATACCAGAAATGCATGCAGGGGTGTGACTGATCTGACTGCAAGCGGCCGCATTGTAGCTGTTTGTCGGGAGGCTTAAGGCCTAGCTCCAACTCTTTCTCTGTCGTTAGGTTTACCGAAAGTCTGATAGAGTTAGCTTTTCCAATATAGCAACCACCATGGACGGCTTCCCAAACAGCCCTTCAGAAACCAATTGGTGACATCACTGAGACTTCGTCCATGTTTATATGGAGTCTGTGCAGTAAACCCTTCTCCATATGTTTTTCCCGAATTACAACCAAAAACTAAATTAAAATGTCTAGGCTTTATAAAAGGCCAAAAAGATTGATTCTATAAAGGAAAGGCGGGATTGAGCTATGTGCTCAACTGCAAATTATAATATATAGTAGTGACTCATCACTCGTCACTGAACTGGCTTTTATCATACACATACACTGACGGTTTTGGTGGTCCTTATACAAGCTTTTGGAGGTTGGGCTTTTAGAAAATAATCTCGATTACATGAAAATGGGACCTTCATTAAAATCAGGCTCAAAACCAACTGTATAAGCAGGACAGAGAGAGAGGGGACCTGATGTTATTAAAATTATTCAGATGCTGGACCCACAGATAACTCACAGATCCCATATGCTCTTTTGTAAAGCTCCTCCAGATAACACTTGTTATGAATTGGCGCTATACAAATAATAATGATTGATTGATAAAACATCTCACTGTGTCTTCTGGAAATACGTTTTACCCACTGTTGTTTATTCACAAAGAGCACATTTAAAATGTGTTATAGAAAGAGCATCAACATGGTTCCTGTCAGCAGACCGGGTTCTAAACGGGTGTGACATCAGGCGTGTTGTCAGGTTCGTCGTCAGGTGTGTCGTCAAGTGCGTCTTGGTGGGCAGGCATGTCCCACCCGGCGGCAGTAGCAAATGGCATTGAAGAATCGGCAGTAGCAGGTGTCGCAGTGGTCACAGCAAGGCAGTGGGTAACCCAGACAGGACTGCTGGTGTGGGATACAACGACGAGGGGAACGCATGGCCCGACCCTGCAGCTGCAAACTCGCAGACGAGTCCTGGAAAACAAGGCAGAAATACTGTCAGACTGCTCACTTGGGAAATTTGTAAAAACAAAATCTTTATTTAAATGTTGTATTCATATCTGTCTGGTTGACTCCAAATATTCACAGAGCTTTATAGCAAAATACTGAAGAGTTGAGAGAGCTGCAAAGACCAATGTTTTCAACTGTGGCTTAAAAATGACTAGTTTGTACCTCTATGTTTTTTCTCTAATAGACTGCCAGACTATTTGGTGCCTTGTTTTTTCTGCAAACCAGCTGAAACATGACAGAGGGTCTAGTAATCATTGGGGTCAAAGAAAATATACGGAAGAGTGCTATCAGCATAGCTGCATAGCTGAGGTAATAACTTAAATGTTCGAACAGCAGCCATATTTAGAAGAATGTAACATTAAAAAAAAGATAAGGGCCGAGGCAGCTACCCTGCGGAACACCAAAATGTTACTCATGTTCTCCCATCCTGTATAAAACTTTCCAAAAAAAGGAAAACATGAAAGCAAATTAAAACACTCCCCACAGAGTAACCAATGTCTCAAAGAGTTTAGTGGTCCTTTATATCAAAGGAAGCATTCTAAATCTCATAGAACCATATAGGCTGCATAAACCATAAACATGTATCTTTAAATAAGCCACACCCACCTCGTCGTAGGAGTCTGCATCCATCAGGAAGCGGTCCTCCACCGAGTCGACAGGTAGCAGGATGGGGTCATGCACAGGGTCTTGGGCGTGGCCTCTCTCTACTGGACATCAGACAGAAAAAACAGAGCTGAAAAGTTACCTGTTTCCACTTTAATAATTCCACCTGCTCTCCTGAGGACGTGATCTCTACACCAGGGTGACGGTTGAGTTGGTGTTAATGTTACCTACCGATGTCAGACAGGTAGGAGGTGTCAGCTCGGCGCCCAGCTGCCGGACCGTCATCCAGTGGGATGTTTCCATGAACCAGAGAGGAAGATAGATGCAGCAGACTGAAGGAGCAACAGCAGAGTAACACAGAGCCAAACATCCTGCTGTCAGAGAGATGAACTACAACTCCCACAATACTCAGCTTCTCAAAGAAGAGCCTCTGTATGGAAGAAAAGGTCAAGGTTAGTGTCTTTGAAAAATTCTGATTTCAGTAAATACAATTTCTACAACTTTAGAAGAATTATTTCAGATTTGGTGTAGATAAAGCACACAATATTTTTGGATATTGCTCTATTGGATTGCTTCAACGTGCATTCTTAAAATTGGCTGTAATTGCTGCAACTTCAAAATGTGCACACTCAAAGTAGGCTATTAAATGCTTGTTTTTGGACACATACACAGATAGTTTTTTAGGGCCTAAGAGACATCACAGAAAGGTTTCATGTTGTTGAAGTTTTTAACTAAAACTGCTCTTACTAGATTTCTTTCATGTTCAGGTTGAGGTAAATTTGGTTGAGGAGAGAATCACATTTTAAACACAGACAATACGTAAAACATACAATGTGGAAATGCATGGTACAATGGCACATGGGTAAAAGTGCAGAAGTGCATAAATTGCGCAGGTTCAAATCGTACTTTATCATGAAGACAGACACAAGGAAAATGGGAAACTCTAAAAACTAAACTTGGGAATATTCTAATAAGAGCAGACCCACAGGGAGGGAGAAACACAAGGATATCCATGTTATCAAACAGGAAATAATATCAAAACACTGACGTAAAAAGAGTACAAAACCAAACAAGAACAAATCATGACAGAAGAAAAAGAAGAAATGTTTTATTAATCCCTGCGGGGAAAGTTTCTTTTTCACTTTGTTATTGAACATGCTACACACAAATAGGCAATGAAATACATGCATACGTAAACAAATGTGCAAGCTCAGCATCCAATGGAAAATGTTAAATGGACTGACTCAAAGCACTTTGTACACTGCAAGGTCACACTTCTCACTTCTCAAACATTAGCTAAACATCTGTCAGCAACATCAGCCAAATATTACAAATGACATCAGTTTAAATTCAGACAGAAGACATTTGTATAAAACTTTAGTTTAAAAGGATTCAACGGCAAAACACAAAAATATGATAAAATGAACGAATTACTTTGTGTTCATATATGAATAAAACTTTATTTTAGATGATCTAACACAGTGTAAGTGAGTAAAGCAGCATTACAATAAAAGTCAAATTCTATCCTTTTATATTGAAATATATAACACAATAACAAAAAGCATTATTTCATTTAAAAATATTATTTCATTTTATATTACTATATACATTTATGTAAGAATTCAAATGTCAGTCAATGAAGCTCCATCAGAGAGAGATTGGATGAGAGACCCTGAAACACACACACACACAAAAAGAGAGAAAGAGATGGGTTACTAACCTGTCGCTGTGACTCCTTGCTGTCTCTCTCTATCTCAGGGAGCAGACGGGCGATTTAAAGGCCCCTAGAGAGGAGGGAGGTCACATGACCAGCAGGGGGTAATGACTTGGGAGGGGAGGAGGGGGTTCTAACCTTGTGGAGACCATTAGATGGAGCCTGTTGTGTATCTAAACTGCATGCATAAGTGTGCATGTGTGTGTGTGTGTGTGTGTGTGTGTGTGTGTGGTTGTATGCGTCATAGATTGCATAAATGAAGTGGACACATGGTCACTGTGATGTCACCTGTTTGTTTGTGAACGTTGGGTTCAGCATTTTGGTGTTTGCATTTTAATTTCTGGAACCAGAAGTGATCATATTTGGACAAAAGCGTAGATAGTTTTCACTTTGCGTCAGTCAGCCCCTTGGTGTCAGCTGAAAAAACATGTTCTCTTGGTTTACAAATGAGTGTGTATGTTTAGAATCCGTGCCCACAGATTCAAAATTTGTGATGAATGATTTGCAACCTGTGGAAATGTTTTTTTTTTTTACCAAATTGTGGGCATATTTTCGCACTGTTGTAACTGTTTCCTAAACTATCGGCACAAATTCACAGAAACTGTGGGTATGAATTTATATACGGTGCATGGATTTTTAAACTGTGGTTATGAATTTGTGTATTCATTTTTAAATTTTGGTCATTAATTAGTAAACTGTGGGTATGAATTTGTAAACTGTGGGTATGAATTTGTAAACTGTGGGCATGGATTCGTAAACTGTGGGAATTAAATTGTAAACTGTGGGAATTAAATTGTAAACTGTGGGAATGAAATTGTAAACTGTGGGCATGAAATTGTAAACTGTGGGCATGAAATTGTAAACTCCATCCATCCACTATCTTCACCGGTTTG